CAAGATGGCGAAAGCTGAATGAGACAGCCTTGGTCGAAAATCGGCTGTAAAGCGTAAAAAGAAGAAGTAGGGAAAAGAATAATATCAAGTTGTTTTCCGACATTTTTCAATTTGTGTTGAGCACTCTGCAACTCCTAATAGAATACAGTTATACCGATACTGATAATTCCGTTTCTGCATTTGTTTTTAATGTTTTTCACTTTAAAAAATATCACATAGCAGAACTAGAACAAATTCCTTCACTCAAAGCATTATTCGAACCAACCTAAGTATTTTTCTTTTCGGATAAAAGGCTATTCTTAATCGACCAATCGTACAGAATTTTTTCCAGATGTTTTTGCTTATTTTTTTTATATCAATATTCACAAAAGAAGCTGAAATAAACCGTGCAATGTTTGTGCTGACAGGTTTTACATACACAGAGTGTATGTGAGAGTCAGCGTTTTTTTATGTCCAAAAATGATTTACTGCTTTACTTATTATAAGCTATTGTAAATCACAAACTATTCCAAAATTCTATCCTAATTTTTAATATATTCTTTCATTTTACTAGATGAAAATAATATAATCATCTTGCTGCTTAAAGGAGTGGACCTTTTTCAAAAGACCATGGTGTAAGTATACAGCTATCCAGGATGTACACTGCAGAATACATGGTTTTGTTTACAGTAACTGGAAATAAGAGAAATAATGAAGAGCAGCCTTGTTCATTGATGATATTGTTTTTAACCAAACATTTCTCTGAGACAATCCACTTTCAATGCATCTGCCAAAATCATATAAGCCTTAAGGGAAAATTATGAATAACTGGCTGACATTTAAGGATTTATCATTTATTTTTACAGAAAATAATTATTCCTGTATTAGTAACACATTATGAAAATCTGGCTTACCTGAAAAACTCAAGGTCATATTGAATGCAATGAAAAAACATAAAAGCAGATGCCACTTCACCTAAATGTACATTTGTTGAATGTAAATGAGTGATTCCATTTGTACATACGCCTCATGGAAAACCAGTACTACTCCAAACACACCCATTCTGTCCGGCAGTATCATCAAAATAGTACCACCGCACTCGCACAGTAATTTTCACTGTCTTTAGAGATCCCTCGAGGTCTGGGTTGAGTTCCTCCTTGACGTCTAGGTCCCTGTGTTGGTGATTTACTGCGCAGTTGACTCCTGTAATCTGCGGATGTTATAATGGCTGATTCTTGTTTTTTTCTCTTATTATGTACAGAGTGGTTCTGTAGTACTGGTACAGGGGATAATTCCGAAAATCATGTAGAAGCTGATGCAGTAGATGGTGATGATGACCTCTGGAAGTTATCGTCTTCCTCTGCCATAACTGGAATGGTGCCATTTGTAATAGACATGAGTTCATATTCAAACACATTGTCTTCCAAAATAAATTCCAAAATATTTTATGGGTATGTATTCTACATTTTCGAAAGCTATTGGCAAAATTGCCTGACTCGATTGTCGAAATCTTCCCGTAACCTAATTGTCGAAATCTTCCCGAGTTACACATTTCTATGAAAGATGGCAGCCCCCCCCCCTCTGACTGGCTATGAAAATCTTTTTGCGTAGACATCCATGTTCCTGAATGCCTGAGCTTCACTACCTAGTCATTTGGAAATCGCCAAAAATCGGAAGTCATCGTCCACATTTATCTTCGTTATCAAAGCCAATCTTATTACTTTGTGCATTGCAAACTAGGAAGAACTTACCCGACATATTATTAATATTTATTTTCTTGATCAATCTCTGACTTTACAACACTTTCGATTCACAATGATGCACTACACTCTTAGGTTATTCCAATACAGTGGTTTCCATATGCGACACCAGGCTGCAGACCACTCTACTAAGGGACTTCCTTGAAAGTGTCGAGATCTCCCAAGTGTCGAGATGTCCCTGAACGACTATATTTATCTAACAGGTAGGTTAGGAACATTAATTTCCCTGCCCTATGGTATGGTTTTCACTAATTTAAAATTCAGCATTTTAAATCCTTATACTGACATCCAATCTTTCCAACCAGAGTGATAAGACATATGCCTATATATTGCATGCCTAATATAATTCATGGCTGCACATTACATTTATATCAAGAGGCTTTGTGACCTGAAACAGGGGTAAATTATGGTTTGACCTTACCATTCTGTGGAAAAAAAAAAAAAAAAAAAAAAAAAAAAAAAAAAAAAAACAACTTGCCTTCTTTTGATAGTTTATGCTGATTTAGGCCCATTCGTTATCCCTTTCATATGTAATGTCACTGACAAGTGGCTTAAAAATTCTACAGTAATTGAGATAACTTATACAGAACAGGTCCTAATGTGGCATTGTGTATTTTGATTTTTACTTTTGAGATCAAAATCAGAAAAAATATCAAGAAATTTTTTTAAAGAGACAATGGATTTCTTTTTTATTCCTCAATCATGGTTAATTTTTCCCCCAGGGAAAGGGAGAAAAGGATCATCTAATTTTGTGTCTGTAAGAAGGTTCCCCCCCCCAATGAACTTTGACTGACATAGAAAGCACCTGGTGAAGAACTAAATTACTGAAATTTTTTTTTTAAATTTATAATTTTTACAATTTTTTTCAAAATTCAGAGTATGAGAATTTCAAAACACACAAAAGTTTTTTTTTTTTTTTTTGTGTGTGTGTGTGTGTGTGGTGTGTAGAAAATAATGAAGAATATATTTTAAAATGTATTTATTTACAACAAATAATATAACAATAAATATTTGATGGCTTTAACAAAATATCATGCTTTCTTTAATACTTTTTTCAGTTTAGACCAGTTAGCTTTTACAGCTAATATCAGTAAGTACACATTTTTCTTGTACCAAGCCCTGGAAAAGAAACAGAAAAATATGACACTATAACACTATTATAAATGATAAAAGGTAAAAACTATAAGTAATATTAACAAATATTTAGCACTATCAGAATTTTCAAAGATGATCTGCTTGCGTCATCAGCTGGTATCCACATTAAAATCCTAATCATCTCCTACTTGCTACCAGACTCATTCCTTACACTGAATTTATCTACAGCAATGTAATTACTTTCTTACCTTAGAAATACCATCCAAAATTTACGGATGGGTAACGGAAATTCTTTTTTCACAATACGGTTTCCTTGTAATTACAAAAAATTCTCTAATTTTAAGACTATTTACGAGCAAATTTATTGACGGCTTTAATCTCGTCCTAAAGGAGGTATACTAAAGATGACTATGTATTCTCATGATTATAAAACTTATTTCCACTATGAATGAGTTACAATTTTTTTTACAAAAACAGGGACATCACTTTCAATGAGCTGTTAATGTACACAGGTGTAACACCTATTGGCAAATATTACATAATTATTTCAAATAAATTTATTTTGCATTATGATTGATACTTATAGCCCCAACTGTTGGAAGATACGAGATATGTAAAAGCTCCTTTTATTGCTTTTTTGAGTTCCCCCCTTTTTTTTAACATATCTTTTTTTTCGACTTTTTACTTTGAAGTATTAAGTTTTCGTGGCTTTGAAAAGATTATAAAAAAAATTATTTCCTTTATTGAATTCATTATTTCTACAAAATCTATTGTAGTGTTTAGCAATTTGTTTAATTTAATATTTGCTTCTGATCACTTTATACATTTTTTAACATTATCTATCAGTCTATAATACATAAATATACAGAGTGTTTCAAAAAGAAGATACGCATTACAAAGTGTTATTTTCTCCAAATTATCGATCACTGCACCTCGGCTCGGCTATTGGCGAAACGAATTTATAGTCTCGTTTATATTAACAGCCAGCAGAAGTCAGTTGTCTTCTGTTTTGTGTGGTAACCGTCACATGTTTAAAATGGCTACTTAGCAGCAGAAATCATTTTGTGTTTTCGAATTTGCGAAGTGCGATTCCGTGATTGCAGTGCAAAGACGTTTCAAGTTGATGTACCAAAGTGGTCCTCCAAATGGGTGGAACATTCGCAGATGGTATTGAGAGTTTGTAAATACAGTATGTGTATGTAAAGGAAAGAGTCCTGGCTGCCCTCGTGTTTCCGATGAAAATGTTGCACAAATTCAAACTGCTTTCCAACGTAGTCCTTCAAAATCAACTCGTCGTGCCAATCGGGAGTTACAACTGCCTACAATAACAATTTGGTGTGTTTTGAGACGATTCCGTGATTACAGTGCAAAGACGTTTCAAGTTGAGGTACCAAAGTGATCCTCCGAATGGGTGGAACATTCGTAGATGGTACTGAGAGTTTGTAAATACAGTATGTGTATGTAAAGGAAAGAGTCCTGGCTGCCCTCGTGTTCCCGACGAAAATGTTGCACGAATTCACACTGCTTTTCAACGTAGTCCTTCAAAATCAATTCGTCGTGCCAATCGGGAGTTACAACTGCCTACAATAACAATTTGGTGTGTTTTGAGACGTTGGTTGGTTATGAACCCGTACAAGTTACATTTGTTACAGGCTCTGGCGTCCTGATAACAAACGCAAACATGTGGCATTTTGTAACGAGATTATTGATGCTATTGACAATGATAACACTTTCGCACAACGCATCGTGTTTAGTGATGAAGAGACTTTTCATGTTAGTGGTCATATAAATAAACACAATGTTCGAAGTTGGGGCCTACACAAACCACATGCAGCCATTGAACATGTACGAGATTCGCACAAAATCAATGTGTTTTGTGCGATATCCCGATCATCAATTCACGGCCCATTCTTCTTTGATAGATACACAGTTAACGGTCAGCAGTATCTCGCTATGTTACAAAACTGGTTGCTTCCGAGGCTGCACGAAGACAACTTCATTTTTCAATAAGACGAGACACCCCGTCACTGGTTTTGCCAAGTGCGTGATTATCTGAATGAAACTCTACCGAACCGCTGGATTGGTCATCGGCCTCCATGGTTATTGGATTTGACACCCTGTGACTTCTTCCTGTGGAGTTTCATTAAAGGCAACGTTTATGTACCACCACTCGCACAGAACCTGCAAGAGGTGAAAAACCGGATCCGTACTGTCATAACATCAGGACATGCTTGCCCGAGTATGGGAGAAATTTGAGTATCGATGTGATATTGATCGTGTCGGTGATGGAGGACACATTGAACATCTGTAATCTGAACTTGAGAGGTCAGCTTGAGAGCAGAGGCTTGTGGTCAGCGATTTGCGACACCTGAAGAAGCGGTTGATGCATTCAAAACGCATATTTTGGAGTTACCTCAATCGAAAAAGAAAAAGTGCTTCGAAAAATGGTTCAAACGCATGCAAAAGTGTATTGATTTTCATCGAAAATATTTTGAAAAAAATAAAACCAATTTCAACCATAAACATTTTTTTTTTTCTCATTATTAGGCCAGAAATATAAATAGCAATCCTTATACAGGGAGATTAAAGGCAAATAGAGGGGACCGAAACAAAAAGATTTTGTAACGGAATGCATATGACGAAACTGTACTTTGAAGTAAAGTGAAAAAGTTTTGCTGGAAAAAATCATCATTCTCCTTCATATTTTGAGCCGCATTTATCCCTAAAAGCACACGAAAGTTTCCGATATGCACTTTATCTATCGGGCTGCAGCTAAAACGAAGGCGGTGCTGAAACGAGGTACAGAGAATGATTCTGAGTACCTCTTTTAAGCAGTGTTCCGTTTCCATCCCTAGCCTCATACATAAAATGCATATCGGGGAGTTCCACGTTCGTGCAACAGTGTACATCACTAAAATTCCTCACGGAGAGTAGCAATATATGTTAGCAATGCTTTCAGCTACTGCTCAGTTGCACCCTGTAACACGTCATATCGGCATTGTAGAATTTGTCAAACAAATGGAAAACGAACATGGCCGTTCACTTTTACCGTTTCATTGTGTTATATATATATATAAAAATTATAGGCATCTACGCTACAACTTAAAAGATGTAATGGAAAAGGACAATGCATGATAACTACACGATCAGCATTAGTACACAGGCGTTTCAAAGCCTTTTTAACGGAAATTGAATCGCATTATGGAGATTTGCTGTTACATTTGGAAATACGATGGTTGAGTAGAAACAAAGTTCTTAATGGACTTGTAAAGTATTCTGATGAGATAAAAATATTTCTTTATATAATCGAAGAACATGATTTCGAACTGAATGATAAAGAATGGGACTTTTCTTTAAAAAGACAAAATGAACCATTATAATGATTTCAACCTACGATTTCAAGGACATAACCACTCACAGTTTTGAAAATTTATGAGGAAAGGAAGAAGTTTTCTTCAAAATTAATATTACTTAAAATAAATGTTTAAAAAAAATGTTTTTTTTTTCCTCGTTAAAAGGGCCACACGAAAAAAAAAAAAAAAAATACGGATATAATACATAAAAATACTAATATATACTACTATATTTTATAATGGAAAACATAATTCGCTACTGCACTGCACTCAGGACAATTGTCATCAGAATGAACCACATTATCAGGTTTCGGAATGTTCACCTACGAGATGTCATCAGTAGGCAGCAGTACTTCCTGTGAATGGAATTCCGGCAGATTTAAAGGAAGTTAGATATTACGTAATTTTTCGATTCGAAGAGAAAACAAAAATAAAAATGCTCTTTTGACAACTGGCATAGTTTGGGTGCGGACTTCTCAAAATGCCTATTATAGTGAAACCGGTTGTTTGTTAGTCTCGTGCAGTCAAACAAGCGTTATAACTTCGGACTTTACAAATAATTTGTAGTATAAAATGAAACCATTAAAGATGCCCGTTAATGGGGCTTGGGCGAAGATGTGACAAATATTAAATTTAAAACTAGGGAATTTAAAACTTTATTACCAATGGAAATTCTTCCTTTTCAACGTAAGCAGAATTTTTGATTGTACCTAAAATCACATACTTTTCCCAGCTACCACAATAAATACAGAAAATATTAAAATGATTGGGCGTATATATTTAACGAAACCAGATTTTCACAAGTCGGGAAAAAACAACATAATACTGGATGCTGAGCTCTTTTTCGATTTAGTGCAAGAGCGAAATGGAAAAGAATGTCTAGAACTTTCGGGTTCCAAGATTCAATTTTCGGATTTATTGTTAGTGGTTTTCTTGAAATAAAAAGTGCAAAACAATATTGTGGAATAATCTCTTAATTAGTCTGAAAGCTTAGACGCACGTGTTAATAAATTTGGGCTAATCCAAGAAGTAGTGAACGACCCTCTCCGGAGCTCAGAAGAGGTATTTTGTGAACTGCGATATCAGAAAACACATAGGACGCACGAGAGTGGACGCGTTATAGTACATATCCTATTCCAGAACAAGTACTTCATCAGCTAGGTGATTTGAGAAGTCGCCTAATAGAATAACAAACGCCTTAATCAAAAGGTTAGATAGTTAAATAAAGAACTAAAGATTTATGAAAAAAAATCTGAATATAAAGTCCGAAAGATTTCAGATTTTATATTACGCCCAAAGGGGCGTTCCGCGCTCCCCCCCCAATTACACACACGTTTCGAGAGTATTTGGACTAATGCTCCTTAAGGCTACAAATATTTAAAAACAGCATAGCTTTAGAATTTCCGATATACAGTCTCGCGCGCTAGAGATAAAAATATTTTTTCCCCGTGCAGCGTTGTCGTTGCTCGCTTTAAAATCGTTGAGTTTGTTAATCAGAAATTCTTTAAAGTTTTACAAAATTAAAGTTTTTATTCTTTAAAGTTACTTTTTCTTTCCCCCCGTACACTGTTGCCATTGCTCGCTCTGAAATCGTTGAGTTTGTTAATCAAAATTCTTTAAAGTTTTATAAAGTATGAAATAGGCAATAAAACAAAATCGTAATTCAAAATT